ATTCAACGGGATAACTGTGCTTCTCCTCCAGGTTTATCTCACAACCAAACCAAGCGGAGGCTGCACCACCCCCAGCCTCCCCATCTTGCACAAGGGGGGGAATGCCAACCAAAATTCAGCAGCATGGCTCCTCACCCCTCACCACCTCTACTGCTCAGTGCACCGTGGGAAGGAAAAGTCCCACCCCAGCCCAATACACTTCCAGGGTCTCTTGCTATAAGCATCTTCCAACAGTATACCAGACCTGGGCTCACAGACATGGGTGGGGTGGAACAGGCTGGGCAAACAGCAACTTCAACTAATCTTGAAGCTGCTATGTTCTTTCTTCCCCAGCTGGGCCTCAGGAGGGTGAGGATCCCTGATCCCCCTGGGACATGCAAGGATGGGGCGGGGTGGCAAAAGAGAGAGCGTAGGAAACTTGCCCACTCACAGAGAGCAAAGCTCCCACTCCTTAAAAAGCTAATCCCCATTCCCACAGCAGTGGGTAGGCCAAGCCACTGAGAAGTCAGGTAGCCTCCCTGAAGTCTTCAGGGATCATCCCAGAAAGGACAGAACACATGTTGCTGCCTTTCTCCCGGCCAGGCCCACCCATGTCAGTCAACCCCCAGGAATCTCCCCCTGTGCCAGGAATCTCCCCCTTGTGCCTGACTTGGCAACTTCAGGAAACTACAGGCAGGGGGCTCCTGACCTGTCTTTTGGCCCAGTAACAATGCTTTCAGAACAAAAATATTTTGGCTAATAGTAACCTAGGATTAGTGTTTCTTAGGATATATAAAGATGGGGTGTATTGCTGTCGAATGCTGTTAGCAATAAGACAGCAAAATAAAAAATGGGGAGGAGGGAGAAGAGTAAGACCAACTGTGATCTATTTCACCGTGAAGTTCAGGGCAGAGGCCTCTGCAACTCCAATTTACAGAAAGGTGCAACACAAAGACACAGCGGACAGGCTTCCTAACCGATTTCCAGCCCCAGCCTCCGTAGAAGGCAGCTCCTCAGCAGCTGGGGGCATGTTCCCTGCTCCTTCCAGGAATAGGTTCTTGCCACCATCGTGGGAAAAACTGCCCATCTGAGTCAGCTACAAGGGCTTCCTGACCAGTAGGTGGCTCACTTCTCTCCAAGTAGGAGCTACTGGCAGCTTTTGACATTCTGGCCCCACTAATCCAAGTTCTTAAAGGAATTCAAAACTCAGGCTGCAGGGCCAAGCTTTCAAGGATAAAGAGAGGAAAACATTAAAGAGAGGGGAGAAAAAAAAAAAAAAAAAAACCCACTGCCTTGGTCTAACTTACTTCCCCCGTCCCCCAAAACATAGTAAAGACAAAAATTAAAAAAAAACAAAACAAAAAAACTGAACAAACCAAACCAAAAACCACTTCTCTGGTTTTATCCTTCTCTGCTCTGCGCTTAGAAGGTTTGGTCAGATTCTGTGTTGGACCCTCTCTATTCTTAAGAAGGCTTTGTTCCCTTCTGTGCCTGATGCAGAAAAGCCAAAGCTCAAAAAGTTTTTTGTTTTTTTGTTTTTTTTGTAAATCAAACCAACAATAAAACAACCATTTGGAATTTTGCAGAGATTTAGCTGGTCCCCAAAATAAAAATACTCCTTCCTTGTAAAACACTCACCAGTTGCAGTGGTGCAGAATTCCCAGTTCATCAGATTCCCTCACGCAACACACTCTCACTCCCCACACCTAACTACTCCCATTAATGCAAACCCCAGCAAAAAGGGAAAAATAAACAGTTTAGTGAAAACCTAAACATTCAACTGGAGTCAGTTCTGTTACATCTGCTGGGTTCCTCCTGTCTTTTGTTCACACTTACGAACTTGGACTGTCCACACTTGGCTTAACGAAGAGGCCCAGCTGTGGGGCATAGGTTTGAATGTGGCAGGTTTCCTGTGCCCAGCCTAGGAAAGCAGGCTGGAACAAAGGTGTCCTGGGAATCCTCTGGAGAAGCAGCAGCAGCACCATGCCTATCTCCGATCTCAATCTCATCACTGAGGAGGCCTGGAGAAACGGCAGTTAGCAGAGAGGTCCCCATCACAGTGCAGTGACACCAGCTGGCATCTTCCTGCTGAAGACCTCTGGACAGAGGAGATGACCCCGATGTTTGGCAGTGATCCAAAGAAAGCCCTCTGTATGAAAGGGAACCAAAATGGAGACCCTGGACAGCTGGCTCGAACCTCGAGCACCCTTCTTGGCAGATGCCTACTTGGGGTTTTCGGAGACTAAGGGGATAGGAGTGTGCAGTAAGGGGGGCGATGGGTCCTGCTGCTTCTGAAGCTCCATCTCAGCAGCCCTCTGTAGCGCCACCTCCACCAGCAGCTGGAAGCTACTGAAGTCTTCCTTGTCCTGCTCTGGGGGTGTGGGCGGTGGCGTGTTGAAGAGTCCACCTGTGGGGCTTCCAGCTTCAGCTCTGGTCAGGAGGGTGAGTGTGTTGCCAGGGGTCACCAAGGGCTTCGGAGGCTCCGGCTCCCCTTGTGGGAAGGGGGCCGCTGGCTTTTCCCCCTGGCCTGAGTGGAGTGGCATGGAGCACACGGACAAGGAGAGCACACTGGTGGGGGCTGGTACGGACACAGCCAGCACCGAGGGGCTGCTGCCTCGGGGGAGGGCCACATCTGAGGCCTTACCCCCGCGGCGGGAGATGGTGAACTGATTGGGGTCTTTGCCATCCTTCCGAAGCATGTCTGGGAGAAGGCGCCGCCGGGCGTTGATGAACCAGTTACATATCTGGAATGCATAGAAGAGGCCGTGATCAGTTCACTCAGTCAAAACCAGCTATGAAGCACCTATGTTGCTGGCCCCAGAAACACAGCAGCAAACAACACAGACATGATCCCAGCCTTCAGACAAGTTCATGTTGGGAAGAGAGATTTAAATCCTACATATGAGTATAAAATTACAACCAGTGGTAGGGACAATAGTGGGAAGACCCAATCTAGTCTTTGTGGACTCAGGGTAGAACTGACAGCAGGCAGGGCTGATCCCACTAGGCCAGAACACCATGGCAAACCACTAATGGGCCTAAACAGTGGCTTGTTAGACCTTCATACCTTGCACACTGTAGGTCCGTCTCCTGGCCCTATCTCTTCTCCCTGTTTACCAACAGATACTTACACAGCATGCACCAGCTGCTGCAGACGGCAAAGACAGCAGCCCTCTCCCCCTCACCTCCTATGTGTTGGGATATTGGGAACTGTGTGGGCTGCAGTAATGCCTAATGTTCCTCTACTGTTTGCTGAATGGATCAAGGCCCAGCTCTCCTTAGGGTTCCTGTACCAGTTTCTACCCCTGCTTATCACCTCTCTTGGCCCATTCCCAGGGCAAGCCCTTGGGTATCATCTTTCTATGGAGTCTGTATCTAGCCAAAGGGACAGCTACCTATGGCGGGAGCTGGTGCCTGGAGTTTCCTGGCTCCTTGCTCAGCAGGCTGTGAAAACTCCTGTTCAGGGCAGAGCCTGAGCCTTCTTGTGGCTTCTCTTCCTCTCCATTCCAGAGGTTCTCGTTTATTCCTCTTCATCTCTAGGGTCTTTCCAGTACAACCACACACACACACCAGCAGGCATCAGCAGACATTGGCTAAGCTGAATACTGGCTAAGGTTGCAGGGGAGCCCCAGAGAGAGGTAGGGCTGAACAGCTGAGTGAGGCAAAGGAAAGGGACTCAGCACTTCTGATACTAAGTACTATGCCAGCCACCTCACTCGCATTTTGTTTCATCTGTATACAAGCCTGAAAGGTTGTGAGCAGCGTCCCCAAAGTACTAAGGAGGGAACTGAACTCTTAAAGGATGCAAGAATGTGCCCAAAGTCACACAGGCTCCGAGTGTAGAGCTGGGATCCAAACCCAGGTCTCCTGGCTTGAGGGCCCCTATTGCTGTTCTTACTGTGCTTTGCTCTGTCTTAGCAAACAGGTGGAACTGACAACCGAATAATCATGACTATAATCCTAAAAGTGAATACTTGTTGAACACAAAGCATACCAGGTGCTGTTCTGAACATTTCCCATCTAATTACTTATTTAATCTTCAACAACTTGAGACAGGTACTGTGATGATCACTTTATTTGAACCGGTGACGAAACAGAGGCCCTGATCAGAGAGCTCAGTAACTTGCTCAAGGTCACCAGTTCAAAGGCTGGGCTCTGTTCCAGAAAACCCCCCACTGCCAGGTGAAAAGACTGAAGCCTTTTCTGCTTGTTCGGATGCTTCCACTCCTGCATCCTGCAGCTGCCTCACCAGCTACCTGTGCTACCAGAGAACACTGTGCCTGCTCACCTTAGCCCTGTGTGCAGGGCAAACTGTCAGGTCACAGTGACCTGGTTCAAGTGAAGTAGGGATGAGGATTTCTGTTGAGAAAGCAGGCTTGGGGAGGGGAGCCTAGGCGTTTATTAGCAGCTGTGTGGGCACCTAGCCCCTAGCTGCGTCTCCCATTTTGGCTTAGAATTCTGGGAAGAGAAGAGCAGAAAAACACCTTCCCCACACACAGAATATATATTCTCCCACATGCTCACCCTGGTCCACAGAAAATCTGGCAGCCTACTGTCTGTTTTGTCTTCTCGTCTGCTAGAAATGCACAGCTGAGGGGGGCCGGGCAAGGGCGGGAGGCCTGCGTGCGCCACTAGGGCCAGCTGTGGTATCAGGCAGTCAGGAATTTCTGTAGCCCCTTCAGCTGCCCGCCCCATGTCCGAGTCAGGAAAAGGGCATGTGATCTGCCCCCACTCAAGGTCCTTGGGGAGGTGGTGGGGAGAATGCCAAGGTGAATTCTGTGATTGATATGGCACAACACAGGCTGGGTGCCTGAAAGCCTGTCTCTACCACAAAATGGCCCTATGTGAGAGGCTGCTGTCCGGCCAGTACTTTTTATCAGTGGCTGAGATGAAGAATGTGGGAGGAATTGCTGTGGCAAACGGGCGTGGGAGGGGCACTAGGAAGCTGATGAAGGCCAGGAGGATCAGAGGAGGGCCTTTGAAGAAGGCTGACCCACACGTGCTTTAATTTTGTCTTTCAGCTGTGAAAGACAGAAGCAAAAGAAGGGAGCGAAGTGAAGGCACGGAAAGACCTTTCTCAAACATCACTGGACCTCCACTTGTGTTGTGACCACCCGTACCCAGGTGCTCTCAAAAGCAGCTGGCTGTATTAGAATCACCTTGACGGTGACTTAAAAAAATAGTTATCTCTTGGGGGTGCTTGGCTGGCTCAGTCAGTGGAGCGTGCAACTCTTGATCTCAGGGTTGTGGGTTCGAGCCCGGTGTTGGGTGTGATTGCGTACAAATAAAAAATCTTAAAAAAAAACCCAAAAAACTCTCTCATCTGCTCTACAGATCCAGTGGAAGTGGGGTGGGGTGGAGTCAGAAATGCGTGTTTTTAAACAAGCTCACAAATTCTGCTGCCCAGACTTAGGAACCAATGGTTTAACCCGCTCACCCCCATCCCCGTCCCACTTTGGGAAAGTCTTCTCTCAGGTAACTGCATTTGAATGGAGTCCTAAAGGAGTTGAAGGAGTGGGGAGCTCAAATGACACCACATCGGTAATTAACTACGTTGAATTCTTAGTCCATTAAATATTGTCTTCCCTCCCTACAGGACGCTACCCAGAAGGCAGGGGTAGTGCCTGTTCTACCGCTGTGTTTCCAGCACATAGCACCGGGCCTGGCACAGCGCACACCCCCAATCAGTATGAGAGTGAAAGAATGGGGCCCGAGCCCTCCCTGCCACGCTTACCTTCCCTCCCCAACAGGCAGCCAGCCCTTTAGAACAGTTAAAAACCACAGCAATAAAGTGGGCTCAAAGGGTGTCACAGGGACCTGTGAAAACCCTTCACAAATGACTTTTGGTCTTACCCTCCTGACTGCCTAGCCCCAGGCGAGTACCAGCAAACCAGTTAGTTAAATGACTCATTGACTTGCTAATGAGATTGTTCTTGGGCCAGTTAAAGGAGACAAGCAAAGGAGCTGTCCCCAGGGAGAGAGAAAACAAGCTTGGCAAAACGCTGATGCGTGATGAAGCCAGGTGATTGGTTCCAGGGGTGCATTATAACATTCTCTTTTGTGGATATTTGCAAAAGTTCTTAATAAACAGTGAAATTTTAAAAATTACAGGAAAGAGAGATGCCTCCAGGGACTTAGGCCAATTCTTCCAGACTGAGGAGCTACTACATTTCTTTAGAGGTCCTGCCTGTTGACATTTCCCACACTTCCTCATTTTCTATCAATTCAGCAATTACTTACTGAGCACCTACCAGATACCAGGCATTGAGCTAAACACTTGGCATATAGTGATAAGTAAGCCTCGGCTTCTGGAGTTCAGTGTGTTCTAAAAAGCAGCTACAGTCCATTGTCCAAATGCTGACCCAGTCCTGGTACTGTGGGAGCACACAGTTCCTCTGAGGGTGGAGGGTCTCCCTGGTCAGGAGTGGGAATGAAGTGGTCTGGGGTACTGATTAGTGTGGCATGAGTATGGGGGAGGGGGCAGGGATGAGGCCCACTCTGCAGATAGGGACAGGTGATATTGTCATTAGGTTGGCAGGAGTCATTGAAGGGTTTTTAATAGTGGAGTAACAAGTGGTAAGACAATGATAGGTTGGATCAGGGTAGGGAAAGCCACATTTCAGAAATATTTAAGGGGTGAATGCATAGGAATTGGTGACTGATCAAAGGAGCTGAGAAAGGGCAATCAAGGGCCACCCCTTAGAAAGGGAAGGAGCCAGCTTGGAGAAGTTATCCATTACCAATTGAGAAATCTGAGGTGCCTGTGAGACCTCCAAGCAGAGGTAGATGGTTGGAGGCCATGTGGGATTCATGGTATAGTTTCCACCCAGGGCCACATGGTCCCCACTGCTCATTAACTCTCAGCATGACTCTAGAGCACGGCGGCCAACACCAGAACCCTTCCCATCAGGGCACGCCAGGATCCACCTGGCCCTTCCTCAGAAGTCTCCAGCAACAAATCCTTGCTCCAGACCAACATTTCTCTAAGTGGAATCAGGGATATATCATCCTAGGGGTCCACTAGTTCTCAGAAGAATGTTTTAGCTTTATGTTTCCATTCTGATCTTGAGTAGGAGCACAGTGGCCTCTGGCAATCCAGACTTGCTCAACTCCAGAGTCAGTGCCTTTGTCATACTACACACCACAGCCCAGTCAGCAAAGCATCATCCCCATCCACCATTTTATATTAATGCAGCTAGATGGAATGTCATTGATTTTACATTTACTTTGGAAAACTTGTTATTTTACAATTTATAAGAGCAAAAGCAAGTTGTTTTTTTTAACCCAGTTTTATGTTTATATGTGCTTAAGTGACGTGATGATAAAAATATTTCAAGTCAACATGTTAGAGAGGAGGTGGGCCCATGAAAAATAAGAGAAATTAGGGCGCCTGGGTGACTCAGTTAGTTAAGCGACTGCCTTCGGCTCAGGTCATGATCCTGGAGTCCCGGGATCGGGTCCCACATCGGGCTCCCTGCTCAGCGGGGGGTCTGCTTCTCCCTCTGACCCTCTTCCCTCTCGTGCTGTCTCTCATTCTCTCTCTCAAATAAATAAAAAATCTTTAAATTGGCACATCACTCAGTTCTAAGAAACAGTTCCCTGACAAAAAGCAATTTCAGTACAGTGTGGCAGCACAGGAAGGAGGTGCACCAGGAACACAGAGTAGTGGCCTCAAACCTAGTCCAAGAATGCTTTCATGGAGTGAGAATGCTTACATGGAGTGAGCCAGGTTCAGAAAAGTCAGGGAGAAGCCCAGGGAGAAGGTCTGAAGGTTCACAAGCCTCGGGGACAGGAAGAACTGAGAGATGAGGCTGGTAAGCTCCTAAGTTGGGACCCTATGCAGAGGACAGTGGGGTCCATGGAGTGTGTAACACCACCAGATTTGTACTTTTGTGTTCAAGAGAATGGACTGAGGGAGCAGAGTTAGATGGGATGCTGTCCAATTCATGAACTGCTTAATAAAGCCCATTAAAAAAAAAAAGCGAGAGGATAGAATGGACTTGAGGGAAAAAGGCAGGAGGCAGAAGACCAGCAAAGAGCCCATCTAGGTGATCCTGGTTCTCAGGCTTAAGCCTTTGGCTTGTGTTGTTCTGCATCCTATGAGTTCAAGTCCACCTCTTTTGGGAGGCCTGTTGAGGCTCCAGGCTGGCTTAGAAACCCTGCCTGCATCTCTGCTGCCTTCTGTCCCAGCAAGTGATTACTTTTTACAAACACTAAAGGCTAGGTCTTCCCCACTTTCCCATCCTGGACTAGACACCTTGAAGGTAGGAATGTGTCTGGTTCTTCTCTGGGACCTCAACTCTAGCTGGGAGCACTTGGTACACTGTGAGATGCTAGACACTGCTAGACACCTGGGGTCCGTCCAAGACCTATGCTCTAGGAGAGATGAGGATGACAAGAGCAGAAACACCCACTCTGTGCTCACCTCGCTGTGAGCCTTGAATCTTTCTTCTCCATCCCTCCTCCTTACATGCTATGAAAGTACCACATTCATCTCCTTTTTTCAGACGAGGAAACACGAGGCTCAGGGAGAGGCAGTGGACCTGGCCAATGTCCAGGCTGCTTCTTGTGGAGAAGATGGGATCAGAGTCAGGTTCTGTAACTCTAGAGCCTTTCTCGCAGACAAGACTCCTATTAACCACTGCCCAGCAAGTATAAAGTCAGGTGACAGGAGTTCTGAGGGCTGAATACTCAGCGTGAGGCATTGTGGAAGAGGGATGGGAGCTGGGAAGACAAGGGAGGTTCCGAGTGGGGTAAGGGAAGGAGGGAGAGTTAGCACCACAGACTGAAATAAGGAATCTATTAAAGGCTAGGAAAAGACAGAGCTGGAACCGGTGGCAGAGGGACTTCGGGTAGAGGCTTAGCTGGGTCATGAAGGGAGCACTGGGGGCTTGTGGGGCAGGGAATAGGCCTTTGCTAGGCTGGGGGCCTGCTCTGTGTCTCCCAGGTAGATGAGAGCCAAATTGGAGGCAAGTCATTGGTAGTCCAGGGTGTCCTGCCTAGCACCAGGACTACCTAGCAAACAGAACAAAAACACCTATAGGTCAGCAGTTGGGGCAGTTCAAAGGAGATAATACCTTGTGCTCTGACAAAAAGTGGACAAGAGATCTTCAGGTATGCTCATGTGCATGGTTTACAAAGCACTTTCTTTTTAAAAAATATTTATTTTTAGAGAAGAGTGCGGGGGTGGAGGTGTGGACACGGGACAGAGGAGGGAGAGGGACAAGCAGATTCCATGCTGAGCGTGGAGCCTGATGTGGGGCTCGATCCCAGGATCCTGAGATCATGACCTGAGCCTAAATCAAGAGTCAGACGCTCAACCAACTGAGCCACCCAGGCACCCCATCTTTTCTTTTTCTTAAGATTTTATTTTTAAGTAATCTCTACACCCAATATAGGATGTGAATTCACAACCCCAAGATCAAGAGTCACATGCTCCACTGACTGAGCCAGCCAGGTGCCCCCAAAACACTTTCACATCCAGTTCAGAATCTGCTCCTTAACAATTCAGTCAGGCAGGGGAGGATTCGAACCCCCCACTTTACAGGTGGAGAAATCAAGGTGTAGTCCATTGCTCCTATGTGGCAGAACTGGGTTTTGAACCCAGAACCTCTGAATTCTGCCCTTTCCTTGGCCATGATCCCAACTCATTTTTCTAACTACACTGCAGACCACCAGCTGCCCTTCTGCAACCAAGTCACTCTCCAGACACTGCTCTGAGGCTGGGGGCTGAATTCCAAACACTCAATGCCCTCTTGCCTTCCCGTGGCCTCCATTGTTAACGACAACAAGACATGAACTGCCTCTTCAGAAGTCTCCCCAATCTAGCTGCAGTGACCTCACATCGTTGTCTTCCCTTGAGGCAGGGAGAGTGGCTGTTCTCAAGTGGCCACAGAGTGTATCAGTGACAGGGCTCAGACAGGCATAGAAGCCAGGCCCCCTGCTACTGGCTCCTTACCTGCAGCACTGACAGGTTGGTCTGCCCGGAAAGGCTCAGCTTCTCCTGTTCCGAGGGGTACGCGTTGTAGCGGTGCAAGTACAGCCAGTCCCGGAGGATCTTCACCGATTCTTTGGGCAGGTTGCCTCGGCGCTTCCTCTTGCCTGCGAGGGAGAGGAGGCCTTCATCCTCACCCAGGTCACTGTCTGACATGGTGTCTAGGGGCTAGGCTGGACCTTGGGCAAGCCTGGAACAAGTGACAAAGGGGATGGGGACATTATTACCACGCACTGCCTCTCACCCTTTCCTTGTCTCCAAACACACCATTATTAGAGCCTGGGACACCAAAATGGAGGGATAGCAAATCAAAGTCTCAGGCCATATCTTAGCCTGGGCAACCTAGAAGGGAAGAGTTTGAGATGCCTTTATTTTATGCGGTCGGCCAGTAGAAGACTACTGACATAAATGGCAGCTCATTAATAAGCAGTACCAGGCTAGAGAGAATCATAGCTACCACTGGGGTCTGTTTTCCATGCTCTGTACCAAGCACTTCACGCTTCCTATCTCATTTGATCCTCACAAAGTCCTTGTAAGACAGATACTACTATTACCATCATTTTATAGATGAGAAAATCAAGGCCCAGAGAGAAAGCCACCTAATTTAGACAGTTACCATGTGACCCAGTAATTTCACTCCTAGACATCTACCAAAGAGAAATGAAAACCTGTGTTCACAAATAACCTTGAACACAAATGTTTATAGCGACATTATTCGTAATAGCCAAAAGGTGGAAACAACCCAAGCGTCCATCAGTGGAGGAATGGATAAAACAAAATGTAGTCCATCCATATGGTGGAATATTATTTGGCCATAAAAAGGAGCTAAGTCCTGATCCATGCTACACTGTGGATGAACCTTGAAAATATGCTAAGTAAAAGAAGGTCACAAAAAACACATTTGATTCCATTTTAATGAAATATTTAGATTGGGCTGAGGGCGGAATAGAAGGATGACAGCTAAAGGGTATGGAATTTCTTTCTGAGGTGATAAAAATGTTCTAAAATTGACTGCAGTGGTGATTACATAGTTGTGAAAATACTAAAACCACTCATTTGTTTGCTTTAGATGGGTAAGTTGTATGATATGTGAGCTACATCTCAATAAAGCTGTTAGGAAAAAAAAATTTCACCTCCAGGATAGGGTACGGAAACAAGGTTTGGACCAAGGTTTGCCACCGCCAACAACCAACTTCCCCCAGCCCCACCAGACTCTATTGCATCTTGCCTCCCAGGTCTGGGATGTCTATTAATCACCATGGTCCTCCAGCAATCTGTGTAACATTTACTGTGCCTACTGTGCCCTGCAAGAGAGTGTTGAGTCATCCCTATTGGTTGTCTCAGACCTTCTCTTTTGTCATCTAGCCCCTGGCCTGGTCCATGAACCAATTCCTCAAAAATCCAGATAAATGAGCAAGGCTGGGCTCTGGTTCTCTCATCTTGGCTGTGTGACTTTGGCAAGTGTGCGCCTTCCTTTCTGGGCTTGAGCCCCCTCTTCACCTGTCAAACGAAGGAAGGGGTTTCCCTAGACAACCCAACTCAGTTGCTCATCCCCCTGACAAACTTCTGGTTCACACATGCAAAAGAGATTTACATTTTAAAACCAAAAGTTCCAGGACAAGCTAATGCCAGAATCTCAAGGCTCCTCCCTCCTCAGCCTTTTAACAGCTACCCAGCAGGCTGGGCCAAGAGACTCTGGCATCTCCCAGGTTTTGTTTCCTCGACTTGGGCCTGAGCCCAGATATCTGGGCTGGCTGGGCCAGGCTTTCGAGGGAAGGGTCTCACCCTCCCAGCCAGGCCACCTGGAGGTGAGACAGGCCTTGGTTAGAGGTGCCACTCCTCAGAGAACACCAACAGCAGGCTGCTTTCTGAGGTCAGGTTTCTGGGGCTTAGCTGGCCAGGGCAGTTGGGATCTGGGCTCAGGGATGCAGTCCTGGCAGGCTATGAGAAGTTTACTCAGGGTTATCTGTAAAAACTCCACCCTGGCTGCCAGCCAAGTCCCAGGCTGCAGGGTTCCTGAGGTGGCCCATGGAGATGACCCCTCAGCCTCCACAGACCTCTCTCCTCCATGATGTCCTGCACTCCAGCCAGCTTACAACGGGGGAGGTTTCCCACATACACACCCCACACACACACCCAGACACAGACTGACAGACACACACATGCCCTCACCACCACGCAACTCTGTAACAGTGCTCAGATAACAGGCACCAACCCATGGCTTAGCTCCTGGAACCACCATGGTTTTCACCGACAAACACAGCACACGCACAGCTTACAGATCCCACGTCTAGCACGAACAACTGGTACCCACGAAACCAGCCCAATTCCTGGATATACGCCTACCCACAAACTCCAACCGGCCCGCCCACCCGCGATCTCTCAGACTGAGGAAACTCCAAACGTCATCACACCAGCGATCAATTCTTATCCCAACTGGCCTGTGGCAGCACCCTCACGACACGACACCCGGTGCACCCTGCTACACACTCCACGACGCCGACGTGCAGCCACTCCCGCACGAACTTTCTGACAACTCCCCCAACTCCTCCCGATACTCCCCCGGGCCGCGCACTCACGGTGCATTCCCAGCAGTTCACACAAAGCGCGCAGCCTCCCCCGCGGCCCAGACCTAGTCGGAGCACATGGCTCCCGGGGCGGCGGGGAATCGGCCTGCGCTCGGGGCGCCCGCACCCCTCAGCCCCCTACCCCGCGCCAGACTCGGCGCCCCAGCTCCCCCGCCAGCCTGCAGTGCGGGTGGGGCGGGGGCTCTGGAAGAAAGAAAACTCACGTGTCTGTCCCGGGGCAGGAAAAAGTTTGGTTCCCACCCCCTTCCCCCGCCGCTTGGCGCTGGCTGACTCTTCGGGGCGCGGGGCTGGCCGAGCCTGCGCGCTCGGCTTTGTGCTCCGAACTCGGCCCGGAGGGGGAGGGGAGGGGGCTGGGCTCCCACCTCCGCACCGCCCCCCCCCACCAAGCCCTGCGCCCAGACTCCATGTTGGCCGCCCCCTACCCCGGAGACTGCGCGCTTCCCCCGCGGGAGGCTCGGCTCATGCTCGGCCTGCCTGAGGGTCCCGGCGCGCACAAACTTTCTTCGGGTCGCCGGCCCCACGCGCCCCGCTTCCTTGGCCAGCCTGGGAGTGACAGATGCCTCCGAGACAGACTTTCCTTTGTTCCAAAGGAAAGGGGAACTCGCGCGGGCTCCCCAGCCCCCCAGCCCCGGGCCCTTCCCGCTGCCCCCACCCGCAGCTGTCACCCTCGGCGGCCCCCTCCTCGGCTCGGCCGCGGCGGGGGGGGCGGGGGGGCGAGGCTGCTGGCGGTTAGCAACGTGCACTTTTTTAAACCAAACAAACCCGCCCCCCGCGCGCTCACCCCGGCCCGGGGCAGGGGCGGCCCTCTCACGGGCTAGGATCGTAGGGAGATGGGACCCCCAGAGGGGCCCCGAGAGAGCTTTCAACTGGGGGGGGGCGGTGGGACATTCCCCCCGCCGGCCCCCGCCCGCCCCCAGGATTCGCGGCTCACAAACACCAGAGCTCACACACCCACAATCGCACGCGCCAGGACGACGCCCCCTCCCCCGCCCGGCCCAGAAAAAGAAACTTTCCAAGTTGTCCGCGCGCCCCCCGCCCGCCTCTGTCCCACTCCTGAGCCCCGCACTGACTTTTCCGAGCGGATTTTCCGTCCACGCGGCCCCTGGCTCGGTCCCGGGCGTCCCGGCAGGGGGCGGGGGGCGCCGGGGGAGCGCGGCGCGTACCTGCCGGGCCTGACACTCGGCCTGACAGCTCGCGGCTGGAAAGCACCTCGCGGCCTGACGTCAGATCCCCTCTCCTCCCCCCCGCGCTTTCCTCGCCCTCCCCCACCCGCCCGGAGGGAGAAAACAAACTTTGTGCGGAGCGCGGCGAGCTACGCCCACCCCCCGCGGGGCGGGCCGACGGCGGCCAGGGGCTTCGTCCCGCCCACCGCGCCCGGAGGGGGCGGGGCCGGGAGGGCACCTTCTTCCTGCGCCCACCCCCACCCTCAGGAATGCCACATGGCCTCGGAAGAGGAGTGGTGGGGAATCCAGACACGGGAGAGTCGGCTTGGGGGCAGGAAGTGGCCCGTTTCTCCTCTCGGAGAGCGTTTCCGGAGCGCCTACTGTGTGCTCCACGCCGGGAGTGGGGGCCGTTACCGAGGGGAGAAATAATGCAGACTAACGTTTGTGAGACCGCTCCCTCCACCAGGTCTCCCGCCGGCGGTGTGATGGTTCCCATTGCACCAAGAGGAAACTGAGGCCCAGTTAGCCCGGGGATTTACCCCAGCTGGTGAGGACCGGGTTCTGAATGCGACGCCTCTTCTGCCCTCAACGGCCGCTAGAGTCGGGTAGAAGGCTGCTTCGGACACAACCCCAAAGCACGCAGCTCCTGGGTCTAGAACACAAGTGGCGGCCAGAGGTAAAAACAGGGCTTGAGGAATGTTTATCACACAGCGACGCGGAGCGGGGCCCTTGGTGTGTACCATCCCATCCAGTCCTTGGGTTATGGGCTTGGTGCTGTTACATATCCGCTCCTGGTTTACCCATGAGCCGCAGAGGCTCTAGACTTGCTTCTTGTCTCCCAGCCAACCAGTGTCGTTCAGCCCAGGTGGGTCCGTCAGTGGAGCCCAGCCCTCACCGCACTGAGGCCGACCACCTGACTAGAAACGTCCAGAGCTTGTCTCTGGAGGTTCACTACACTCAACTCCAGGATGTTTCCTTCGGTCTTCGCCAGCCGTGCCAGCACTCTCGTCCCTGCCCTGTGCTCTGTGCCACAATGTGAAGTACCTGGTGACCAGCCCCCCTCGGCTTCCCCACCAGACTTTGTGTTCCCCAGAGCGCAGCAGCACACAGCCGAAAACCGGCCGAGGCCTTTTCTGGGCCTCTGGTGCCTCATCTGGGCCCAGCTATCTAGGACCCTTGAGCAGCCTTGAGAAGGCTTTTGGTCCTAATTGCGCTTCAGCAGTGGAGAAATCTGAAAATAAAAATCGAGTTTTTTTTCCAAACAGGCCTTAAGCCAATCAGAATGCTGATTAAATGATCGTGAGAGTGCACCTGGGCTCCCGATTGAAGCCAGACTTCACTGCAACTGCTTAGAACCTAGTTGGCCACACTATCCTCCTCACAGCAGCACCCAAAATGTCAGTGCCACTGCCCAACGCCCACCATTTCACAGATGCAGAGACTGAAGCCCAGTGTGGAGGCCCCAAATGATCTCTTGGGGAAGTGGTGCTCTGTCTTAGAGAAGGGAGGCTTGGGGAGTCTTAGGGTAAAGGTAAAACTCCTGGGTCCTGGTCACTAGGCTCAAAGATATGTGTGGGGCAGGGACCTTCAGGAAGGGGGGAGTCTGGAAGGGGAAACGGGTGCATCCAGGTGAGTCTGGAGATATGACTCTGTCTGCAACACTTAGTGCCAGGCATTGTGGTCCAGTGCATGAGAGCCAGACTCTGCCATTTGGGGGAAGCGACTGGGGACCTAGGCTACAGCCCAGAGACCTCCCTGCAAATTGTGCCGCCCCCGCACCAGCGCTTCCGGGGTTTGTGCTAGGAGAGGTGCTCCAGGGCAAATAGAAGTCACCAGCTCCCTCCTCTCACCGCTGGGCCACCTGGGAGCTGGATAACAAAGCAGCTTCAGAAGCCCCTCCCCAGACTTCCTGGAGGGGGAGGGGAAGGGCTGGGATGTAAAAGGAGGCTTGGGAGTGTGTCAGGATTGCACATTGTAAACAGATTCCCCAGGTAAAGCCTGAATACCAGTGGACTATGAGAATTGCCATGTAAAGTTTTTCTTTTTTCTTTTTTTTTTTTAAAGATTTATTTATTTGAGAGAGAGAATGAGATAGAACATGAGAGGGTGGAGGGTCAGAGGGAGAAGGAGACTCCCTGCTGAACGGGAGCCCGATGCGGGACTCGATCCGGGGACTCCAGGATCATGACCTGAGCCGAAGGCAGTCGCTCAACCAACTGAGCCACTCAGGCACCTGCCATGTAGTTTTTCAACTAGTTAAGTATCAGAATTTAAAATGCATGCATCCTCTCAGCCAGTAAGTCCACTTCCAGGAATCTACCATGAGAAATAAACGCAGAACAATGATAAATGCTTATACAAGATTGTTCTTTGCAGCATTGTTCATTCTGGTGGAAGATTGCAGACAACTACATACCCCTGACCAGGCACTGACTTCTTACAGCACCTCTGGGACCTCCGTACAGCAGGGTGTTGTAATGGGGTAAGTCTGTGCACACTAACCTAGGGGATGGCCAAGCTATCTGTGTTGTGACAATTTGCAGTGTCCCAGCACAAGGGGTTTTGGATATTCTTGGTACCTTTATGGGAAAGCCTTTAATAACTGGGAAGATATTCTTATGTCATTTTTCTCTTCAGGTATGCTACTCCCTTCTCCGCTTTTCACATATGAAAAAACTGGGTTCCTGAGAGAAGGGACTTGCCTGATAATGAAGCTGGGGTCCTGACTCCTGGGACAGATCTGGGGTGGGGTCTGGATGGGAAGGACAGGTAGGTGTAGCGTCAGCCCCTAGACTCACCTGGTTGCCTTCAGTGGGCCATTTTAGGAAAAGCCTCAGGAACTCAAGGCCCCTCAGGCCAGAAAAGGGACTGGATAGGTTGCATAAGGCAACTCCTGCTTACCCAAATTAGAGGCTGCCGCCGATGGGGCTCCCTGTTCATTGTGCCTGTTTCTGGTGAACTTGATTATCACATAGGTTCAAATGAATGTCATGTAAGTCCACTTTCATTAAAAGAAAAAAAAAAGCCATTGCCCTTTTTACCTGGGGTTGATGAGTGGGGTAAGGGATCAGTATTCACCTGGAGCCAAGAGGAGCCAAGGCTAGATATGGTAGCATAAAGGAAGTGGGGTTCTGTGGGGTGGAGGGGAAGAGTCCAGAAAAGGACAGGGTCAGTGAGTAATTCAGGAAACGGCAGAATCAGTCAGCTGGTAGGGCCTTGAAGGCCGGGGTACAAAGTTTGGATTTGGTGTTGTGGGCTGTAGGGAGCCTTGCGGATTTCTGAGACCTGCTGAGGAGAGAGAGATAGGAAGTGACTGGCAGTAGGATGATCAGGTGAGGCAGCTCTGGGTAATTGAGGCCAAAATGATGGAGACCTGTCTCTGAGGTCTAGGATCTTTGTGGCTCTCTTCTGGGAGGTTCAGCATTCTCATCTAATGTGGATTTCAGCTTATCAACATCTTCCTTTTTAAAAGATTTGTCATATTCTGTTGATCATTCACAATTTGCTTAGCTTTCTCCAAATTTGAGGTATTCACTCATCTAATTTTTGAGTGCTTAGTGTTTGACAGGCTGTGTGCTTGAAGCTGGGGAACCCACTGCCTGGGTTGTCAGGAATGGTTTGGGCAACAGTGCCCACTGGTGAAAGGGGTATGGGGTTTGGGATTTGGAGCCAGGTGACGTAGGCAAATCATCCAAACCCTTTGAGCCTTCCTTTTCTCCTCTGTGGAAACATCTGGATTTGGTGAGGGTCAAAGAAAATAACGGCTGTGAAAACCCTTTGTGAATTATGTTCAGTGCATCTAGAAGAGCAGATACTGTTATCAGAGTGTCTTATAGCTCTGTGTGTCATTTGACAGTATGAGTTCCAGTTTCTTCTTCATCTGAGAAATGAGAGGGTTGGACATGTTAATCCTAAAGGTCTTTTCCTTCTTTGGCATTCTACCATCTAGGCTTAAATGATTTTTTTTTTAAGATTTTATTTATTTATTTGATGGAGAGAGAGAGCACAAGCGGTGGCGGGGGGCGGCGGACAGCAGAGGCTCTCTGCTGAGCAGGGAGCCTGATGCGGAGATTTTGATTTTTGATTTTGAAAACTATATATATATATATATATATATATATATATATATGTATATGTATATGTAAATGCTTGTTTGCCCACAGCTTTTTAAATTTTTATCTTTGCTGGTTTAAGTGCTATCGAGTATTATCTGAAAGTTGTATATGTCTGCATGACTTTCCTAACAGGCCAGGCTAATCTTTGTTCTAGCTAATCTTCGTTATCTGATTTTCTTCCTGTGCAAACAGTTTGCATCAAAGGGTACTTCAGAGGGGTCCAAGTCATAGCATTATAACTCAGGGGTGTTGGTGTGGCTGGGATGTGGCAGTGACCTGCATGTGGGGATACCACAGTCTCTTCTCTTAATGCCCTCTGGCTTCTAGACAAAGATAAGAGTGTTGTGCTTTTAATTTGGGGATTAAGAAAATCACTTTTGATTTTCTGGTAGTTTGCTCCTCTACCTGTGAGCCACTGGGTATGGCACCTCCAATCATGGCTACAGAAGTCAGCCAGGCAGAGTTGGCTGTTGTGGGGCCTGAGAGACTTAATGACTATTTTTCTTCATTTCTTTTATTAGGGTCCGTGTGATAGGATAGATGAGGATCAGATCCATTTGGCATAGTTTCATTTTTTTATATGTGGGTATTTTCTTCTGGAATATTATTTTTTCTTCTTTTTTTTGAGGTTTTTCTTTTTTCTTTTTTTTATTATGTTATGTTAATCATCATACATTACATCATTAGTTTTTGATGTAGTGTTCCATGATTCATTGTTTGTGCATAACACCCAGTGCTCCATGCAGTACATGCCCTCTTTAATACCCATGACCAGGCTAACCCATCCCCCTACCCCCCTCCCCTCTGGAACCCTCAGTTTGTTTCTCAGAGTCCATAGTCTCTCATGGTTCGTCTCCCCATCCGATTTCCCCCCCTTCATTTTTCCCTTCCTGCTATCTTCTCTTTCTTTTTTTTATTTTTTATTTTATTTTTTATTTTTTTAAAGATTTTATTTATTTGAGAGAAAGAGAAAGAGCGAGTGAGCACAAGCGGGGTGAGGGGCAGAGGGAGAAGCAGACTCCATGCTGAGCAGGGAGCCTGACACGGGACTCAGTCCCAGGACTCTGGGATCATGACCTGAGCTGAAGGCAGCTGCTTAACCGACTGAGCCACCCAGGCGCCTTTTTTTTTTTTTTTTTTTTTATCATTTAATGTATTTTTTGTTTCTGAGGTACAGGTCTGTGATTCAACAGTCTTACACAATTCACAGCACTTACCATAGCACATACCCTCCCCAATGTCTATCACCTAGCCACCCTTATTTTTTCTTTTTAAAGATTATTTATTTGAGAGAGAGAGAGAGCATGAGCGCGGCGGAGACGGGGAGCAGAGGGAGAGAGAATCTCAAGCAGACTCCCCACTGAGTGTAGAGCCTGCTGAGGGGCTCAATGAAGGGTTCAGTCTCACCATCTGGAGATCATGACCTGAGCTGAAACTAAGAGTTGGATGCTTAACTGACTGAGCCACCCAGGTGACCCTGGAGTATGTTTTTTAATTCCAAAAGCAATATGCTGTGTTAATTAGGGCAAGTTAATCAATGCAGGAGGCCTTTAGAGACAAAGTGAATAACTCCCCCCTCATTCCCACCTTCTAGCATTAGCAGTGCTAACCTGCATGTATCCTTTCTCTGCTTTCTCCACGTGCAAATACATACACACATCCTGAGAGGTGTTTTCTCTCTTCCAGGCTCTTATTTACATTCCTCACCCCTTCCCATTTCAACAGGGCTGCAATTAGCATTTTCTACATAAATATCTTTGCAATTTTGAGAATTTCCTGAAATAGATTCTCTGAAGTGGAATTACTGGGCCAAATAGTAAGAATGGATATTTTTAGGGCATAAACCTGGTGCACTCTCCATAGCAGTGTTTGCCACAGGAGGTAGGAGGTGCTAGCAGTTTTGTGTGAATCTTCTTTGATGGCTGAAGAATAGCCTTTGGTTCTTTTAATCTGCATTTTTTTATTATTAGTGAGATTGAATATCTTAATATATCGTAACTGTTGGGCATTTGTCACTTGTGAATTATCTGCACATCTTTTGGAGTCTTGAGTTTCTTTCCGACTTGCAAGCTCTTTTCAGTAGGAAGGATGCTTAACCCTTGTTTATTTTATTTGCTACAGGTAGGTTTTTTTCCCCCCAAGATTATTGTTTGCCTTACATTTTTTTCTTTTCTATTTTTTTTAAAAGATTTTATTTATTTATTTGACAGAGAGAGACACAGCGAGAGAGGGAACACAAGCAGGGGGAGTGGGAGAGGGAGAAGCAGGCTTCTGGCAGAGCAGGGAGCCTGATGCAGGGCTGGATCTCAGGACCCTGGGATCATGACCTGAGCCGAAGGCAGACGCTTAATGACTGAGCCACCCAGGCGCCCCTGCCTTACATGTTTTCTAAGCTGGGTTGTTTTTGTTCTGTTTATTATTATTTTTGTTCATTTATTTTTATTTCTTAAATTTTATTTTATTTAAGTTCAATTAATTAACATGTAGTGTATTATTAGTTTCAGAGGTAGAGTTCAGTGATCCATCAGTTGCGTGTAACACCCAGTGCTCATTACATGAAGTGCCCTCCTTAATGTCCATCACTCCCTATCCTCCCAAACCCCCCTCCCCTCTAGCAATCCTCAGTTTGTTTCCTGAGATTAAGAGTCTCTTATGTTTGTCTCCCTCTCTGGTTTTGTCTTGTTTCATTTTTTTCCTCTCTTCCTCTATGATCCTCTGCCTTGTTTCTTAAATTCTACATATGAGTGAGATCATATGATAATTGTCTTTCTCTGATTGACTTATTTCGCTTAGCATAATACCCTCTAGTTCCATCCACATTGTTGTAAATGGCAGGATTTCTTTTTTTTTGATGGCTGAGTAATATTCCATTGTGTGTGTGTGTGTGTGTGTGTGTGTGTGTGTGTTTGTGTGTGTGTGTGTGTACACACCAATCTTCTTTATCCATTCATCTGTCGATGGACATCTGGGCTCTTTCTATAGTTTGGCTATTGTGAACATTGCTGATATAAACATTGGGGTGGAGGTGCCCCTTTGGATCACTACATTTGTATCTTTGGGGTAAATACCTAGTAGTGCAGTTGCTGGGTCTTATGGTAGCTCTATTTTTAACTTTCTGAGGAACCTCATACTGTTTTCCAGAGTGGCTGCGCCAGCTTGCATCCCCACCAGCAGTTTAAGAGGGTTCCGCTTTCTCCACATCCTCACCAACATTTGTTTTCTGACTTATTAATTTTAGCCATTCTGATTGGTGTGAGGTGGTATCTCATTGTGGTTTTGATTTGTATTTCCCTGAAGCCGACTGTTGTTGAGCTTTTTTCTTTTTTTAAAGTAAACTCTTTGCCTCATATGAGGCTCAAACTCACAACCCCGAGATTAAGAGTCACACACTCTTACAACAGAGCCAGCTAGGCTCCCTTTTTGTTTGTTTATGTTTAAACTTTTCACTTGGTCAAATGTCAGTCTTTGTGGTATTGCCCGTTGCTTTTGGGCTAGGAAAGAATACAAGCAATCAAAGGATATTCACCTACATTTTTTTATTTTGTTCCTTCAAGGCCTAATTTTTAACATTTAACCCTTTACTGCATCTGGACTTGATTTTGGTTTACAGTGTGAGGCTAAGAATCCCAATAACTTTTTTTTCTGAATGATGTACCATTTCTTATCATTTTTCCCATCTTCTTGGATGTGTGATGTCACCTTTTCCAAGGCAGTGAGTTCTTACACTGTGTTTCATGGTATGTCTCAAGGAGGGAGTATCTTGAGATTACTATTTTGGAGGATGAAAAGACAGATTTCAGCCAGGGAAGGAAAGCCTTTGAACTTCTGTGATGGAGACAGATTCTCCTCCGTGAGGCTAATGGCTTTTTGCTTTAAGGACCCTCACTCTTGTCTCTTCCAAAGCCCTGGAAGTGGTCATATGTTTCTTTCTTTCTTTTTTTTTAAGATTTTATTTATTTCAGAGAGAGAGAATGAGAGATAGAGAGTATGAGAGGGAAGAGGGTCAGAGGGAGAAGCCGACTCCCTGCTGAGCAGGGAGCCCGATGTGGGACTCAATCCTGGGACTCCAGGATCATGACCTGAGCCGAAGGCAGCCGCTTAACCAACTGAGCCACCCAGGCGCCCGTGGTCATACGTTTCTATAAAATGTACAAAATTAAGAAGCCACTGGGTGG